ATTGTTGTCATCTTTCTTTGTTGAAATCAGGTCTCTCTTGTAAATGAATCCTCGAGGCTCAATGGGATTTACCTGTAGAAATAAAGGTTGATTGATTATAAGCCTTAAAATGAACGAGCCTCAGCTAGCCTAGCTGTTAGCCTAGCTGTTAGCCTAGCTGTTAGCCTGGCTGTTAGCCTAGCTGTTAGCCTGGCTGTTAGCCTAGCTGTTAGCCTTGCTGTTAGCCTTGCTGTTAGCCTAGCTGTTAGCCTAGCTGTTAGCTTTGCTGTTAGCCTAGCTGTTAGCCTTGCTGTTAGCCTAGCTGTTAGCCTGGCTGTTAGCCTGGCTGTTAGCCTGGCTGTTAGCCTAGCTGTTAGCCTAGCCTGGAGGAAGCCCATTGCTCTTTCCTCCAAGCTCTGTGACTGATGAAAGTGAAAAGTATTGAAGCATCACTTTAAAAATCACCAGATTATCCCTTTTAACAGAACACGTGACAGAAATGATTTGGTGTGGTAGTAGCTGAGCATTACGCCTAACATGCTTTGAGGTCATCTCATGATCTCCCTCCGAGTCTTTTACGACCCACAGTGCGGTCCGTCCATCTGTCCTTTTTATTTTAACACGCCTTCTCTTTTCCAGGACACGGGGAGCTGCCGTCTGTCTCTAGCAGTCTCTGCGTGAGACATGAGGGACACCCTGGACATGTCTCCAGCTGCCATCTAGGGCGCCCGGGGGAGCAGATGGTGGGGGTTAAGGGGATTACGGGCCTTGCTCAAGGGCCCACAGTGGGGCAGATGAGGGTGGAGGCAGGTGTTTGTGCTTCACCTTTACCACCCGCATTCTGATGTTGTCAGCACTGGGAGTCGAACCAGCGACCTTCCGATCTCCTCTAACCTCTGCACCACCACTCCCCGTGTGCACCCCTACATAAACTGATAAAAACAGTGAAATAACTTCATTTATTTGTTTAATTGATTTATTGGTCATATTAATATGCAAACAATCAGAGAGACTCGGGTCACAGGTCGTCAGAATTCCAAACGTTTTGAACAACTAACCAGTCCAGTACTGGGCGGTTCTGACAGGGATTCAGAACCTGTAGAACCTCAGAACCTACGGTTCGACATCTGGACCGGTGTATTAAAACACACAATAATAAATAACAGGTGGTACTGGAAGAGAAGTCGTGGTGTAAAGTGTCAAACTTTGACTGTGGGGGTCAGAGAGGACATCAAACTGGACCGGAACCAGAACGATATCAGAATAAACCTGAGACAAACCATCCCGTTGGATTACAGTGACCACACAGGAAACAAGAAAGAAACTGGTGTGGAGAGTCCGTCAGCAGGAAGGAACCTTTGCAGTGAACCGGACCGGTCCAGACCCGTGTTCCGTGTTAGTCGGGGTACAGCAGAAACCCCGAGAACGTGCTGTACTTGTTGTTGTTCCCTCCGTGCGCTTTCCCTCCGTCCAGCTTCACGTAAATCTCATCCCCAGAGTCCAGGTGCAGGACGGCGCTGTTGCTGGCCGTGTCGTAGTTCTGGTCGGCGTCCTGAGCGATGGAGCTGGCTCGGACCTGCGGAGGAACCAGGCAGAGTTCAGGGCATCGTCTGAACGGACTCTGTTGGTGCAGAGAGGTTCTGAAACGTCAGGAAGGAGCTCGTGGTGCAGGTGTAAGAAGTCGGCCATCTTGCCTAAAACATGTGATGTTGGTGATCGATTGTTTTAGACTCATTTCTGGGACTTCCACAGCAGGCGGGTTTGAAGCCCGTCAGTAAGGTGCTAGATGTAAGACAGACCTGGGTGGCCTCGGACTGATGAAGTCTTCCTGATGACAGACGAAACGTTTCTTCTAAAAAAGAAACTGTCCACATGACATGATTGATCTTTCTGTGATAAATCCTAGTTTTTATATTGCTTCAAAGTTTAGTTTCCTCAAATGATTTGGGTGGTCAAAGATTAATTTATGGTGGGCAAGGCCACCATTGGCCACCCCCCGGCTCCACCTCTGCACCTGGTGGATAAAGCTGCTGTTAGTGGAACAGTTTCAGAATAAAGCGTCTGAAAGACCTCGTCTCCAGTTTATAATCTCATCCACAGATTAGAAGAATCTGTAGGAACCTCTGAGCTCAAAGGACGAGGCTGAACGTCAGTATTGGATGGTGGTGATCTTCGGGGCCCTCAGGGGCCCCTGCATTAAAACCAGGTCTGGTTCTGTTCTGGGCTCAGGAACTCTTCCACAGATCATTGTCTGCAGTTCATCCACAGATCCTGCTTAAAGCTCTATCAGACAGAGAAGAAGCCGTATGTGGACACCATCCAGAACCTCTGCTGTCTCCTCTGGACCAGAGCTCGTTTCTGAGGTGAAGTCCAGAACTGATCTGAGGTCAGACGGGTCTAAATCTGAAGTTCTGTTTGGAAACCACGTCCTCCACACTAAAGAGCAGAGGGACCATCCAGGCTGTTGTCAGCTCCAAGTCCAAAAAAACTACCTCTCTGATGGTATGGGGGTGCATTACAGCATATGGCATGAGCAGCTACACATCTGAAGACTAGACCTGAGCTGCGAGGTCAGTAACGCAACTGGTCTCCTCAGGTCCATTAAGATTTTGTTTTCAGAACCAGCAGACACTTCTCATCATTATTTTATGTTTTTAAATAAAACAATAATCAAATTCTTCACAGTTTGGTCTAAATCTGTACATTTAAAACTATTAGTAAGTGTCTAACCTGCCGAAGGATTAATTGAGCCTGAGTCAAACCAAGCCCAGTTCGGTGAAAGGACCGAACTTTGTGTTTGGACCCAGAGGTTCGGTACCTGTCCGTTCTTGCACAGGTCGGCCCACATGCTGGTTCCGTCCCCGCCCCTCATCAGAACCCTGTAGGTGAAGAAGTAGACCCCGGACACCTGGCAGGTGAACTTCCCGGTGGTTGCGTCATAGTCGCTCCCCAGGTTCGTGACTACGTCATCAAAGCGGACCACCTCGTAGCCCTCGTGGGGGTTCTTCAGACCCACATAGAAGGCGATGTGTCCCGGTCCGACAGGGCTCAGCTCTCCTGGCACCAGAACCTCCCCAGTTCTTCCAGAGTCTCCTGGTGGTCCTCTCGGACCGGGAGGTCCTCGTTCCCCCGGTGGACCTCTTGGTCCTGGTTTCCCCGGCCGACCCGGTTCAGCTTTAGAGTCCTGTATGGTGGTTGACGGACCCGCGCTCGGGTCCCGCAGAACCTCCGTGGTGCTGTACGGGTCACAGACCATCCGGCAGGTTCCCACCATCTCGTAATGCGCGGAGGTTCTGGAAGTTTGGAGCAGCAGAGGAACCGCAAAGATCAGAGCCAGAACCATGACGGTGCCGCCGTGACGGGTCTCCTGCAGAGTCCAGTTCGGTCTGGACGTGATGGAGAGGAAGGAGGGGGTCTGCAGCTCAGCTGGTGGTTCCGGAGACCGGTCCAAACAGAAACAGCTGCGCCCGAGGCGCGCGCGCGCGGTGCCACTTCCACTGAGACTCAAGCTGACCCTGATCCGGTCTGATGGTTCTGACCCGGTGGGTCTGGGAGCAGCGGGGGTGTCGTCCCCCAGTGTGGACCCCAGACTTTAACAATAACCCGGTTCTGTGCGGTTCGGTCCGCAGGCTGTCTGCCGGAACCCACGACTTCCAGAAGAGACTTTAAAGGGATATTCCGGACATTTAAGTTCAGCAGGTGTCCTGCCATAAAATGTTGGTCTGCCAAGAAGAGATCAGCCGCTGCGGGAGCGCGCACAGACAGTAGCGGGAGCGCGCACAGACAGTTGCGCTCCTTAAGACCCGAATAAAAACAATATTAACACTTAAAGATGGCTAGTTGTCTGCTCCAGATTTAAAAAAAGTTTCTCAATTTAATTAATTAATTAATTAATTAATTAATAATTAATAAGACTCACTTTGTGTTCTCCATGAGTGCAGTCTTGAAGTTTTTCATAAAATCTTCTAATTTCAATCCTGCACAAGATCATAAACAACTCTGGTTTGATGCATCAAGTCTTCTTCTTCTTCTTCTTCTTTCGGCTTTTCCCTCTTCAGCGTCTCCACAGTGAGTCATCCTCCTCCGTCTCACTCTGTCCTCTGTGTCCTCTGTCCTCACTCCAACTACCTCCATGTCCTCTCTAACTGCATCATATGTCTCCTCTGTGTCTTTTTCCTGGCAGCTGCATTTCTAACATCCTTCTACCAATATACTCACTGTCCCTCCTCTGGACATGTCCAAACCACTGTCCCTCCTCTGGACATGTCCACACCACTGTCCCTCCTCTGGACATGTCCAAACCACCATCCCTCCTCTGGACATGTCCAAACCACTGTCCCTCCTCTGGACATGTCCAAACCATCTCAGTGTGTCCTCTCTAACTTTATCTCCCAGTTGTTCAACCTGGGCTGTACCTCTGATGATCTCATTCCTGATCTTCTCCATCCTTGTCTCTCCTAAGGAGAACCTCAACATCTTCATTTCTGACACTTCCAGTTCTGTCTCCTGTCTTTTTGTCCATGTCTCTGTCTCCAGACCATACAACATAGCTGGTCTCACCACTGTCTTGTAAACTTTTCCTTTGACCTTTGCTGACACCCTTTTGTCACAAATCACTCCTGAACCTTTTCTCCATCACTCCATCCTGCCTGGACTCTCTTCTTCTCCTCTTCACCACACTCCCCATGTTCCTGGACAGTGGACCCCAAGTCCTTGAAGTCCTGCACCTTTGTGACCTCTGCTCCTTGTAGCCTCACTGTTCCACCTCCTCCCTCTCATTCACACATGGACTCTGTCTTACTACGACTGACTTTCATTCCTCTTCTTTCAAGTGCATACAGCTCTATACTAGATCTCTACAAAGACTAATCCAAGCTTCATCACATTCAGACACTGATGGACACACATCAGAGACCATGAGGGTTCAGTGTCTTGCTCAGGGACACTTCAATATGTGACTGGTGGAATCGAGCCCCCAACCCTTCCACTGGAGGACGACTGCTCCATCCACTGAGCCACCGCTGCCACTAGATGATGATGATGATGATGTTTTGTTGGACTGTCCCAGCAACAAACAAGATGCTTTTTAAATGATTTCCCTTTGACTTGGTTCTAGTTGTGAACGTCAACAGCTTTTTAAGGAAAACAAGAGTTTTTAGAAACAAACATTATTTCGACAGAACAAAACGCCAGAAGACACTTTTGTTTTGGACGTGTTTCTGTTGGGGGGGAGTCAAGACGATGTGACGCCCGTGTGGCCAGCAGTCGTCCGTCGGCTCAGCTTTGGTCAGAGCCTCAGGTCCAATGTGTCACAAACAGAAACAGAATTTCCAAACACAGACGGTTCCATGAAGGTCAGAAAGACTGCAGTCCACCAAGAACGGGTCACACGGTTCTGGATGCTCATGCACAATAAAACACAAAGTCCTCCTCATTTAAAACCAACTGAAGATTGAAACATTTCATATTCAACTCACGATTATTAAAAACGAAGAGAGATGAATAAATGTTGAGTAAAAGGTCTGCGACCAGAGGAAGCTCAGGGACGGGTTCTGGGTCAACGGGTCCAGAATGTGTCAACAGGTCGGACACACAAGTCTGAAACAGACACGTTGGAAACACAACCACAATATACAGGGTCGCAACAGTCCACAAGGAACAAGCGGGGACCATCGTCCACAGTTAAACAGGTCAGTAACGTTTAAGATAAACGGGTTGATTCAAGTCCGTTGAAAGTGAGTAACAAGTCGGGTACTTTACAGGAAACTAACCAGAAACAGCTTCAACACGTCTGAGGAGGTCCAGGTAAAGCAGCCATTAACAAACAGGTCTACGAGCAGCAGTCCATGACAGGGGGGAGCATGTAGTCCATTCTCTTGTGAGGTGGGACGCAGGGATCCTGATTAAGACCCAACACCTTTCAATTAAAAACATTTTCTTGTCAGACGCTCAAAACAAGCAGCAACAGCAGAGTGTTTTTTGAATCATGATGTTGAACAGAGGAACGAGGAGCATTTGTCTGGAACAGGTTTATAAAGAACCAAACAATCACACACAGCTCTTCTTAACAGCTGACAAACAACAACAACAACAACAACAACCACATGGTTTAACACGTTACATGTCAAAATCACAACAGTTTGATCACAGACTCTTCCACTTCAAACAGAACCTGAGATGGTGCGATTTCTGAAAGGATTGCTGCTGTTGTGCCTCTGAGCCATCCAGTCAGGTAATGCCAGCACTGAACCAGTTGATAAGACCAGCCAACCATAGGTTTTATAATGGGAGATGTGTGGCACACGGTTTACGTGTCGGGCTCCTCATCAGCTCCACTTATTTACACATCTCCTCGCTCCATCCTGTCAGCTTCATTTATGACAGATCATGTCAGCACACGGCTCTATTGGTGATTGATGAACGACCAAAGACAGCTTGAGACGGGCTTGTCTGTGCAGTCTTACCACAGAACCGTTTTATTAAATGTTATGATAAAAACTTTTCTTTCAAGTCTTAGCTGGCTTCTTGTACATTTGAATTGAGAAATCTTCTCTTAAAAATTTCATTATTTTGCCAAATTCATACATATTTTACTGTTCGTGCTCACAGGACCTGATAACAGATCAGATATTTCCAGTGCTATTATCTGACTGGTGGCACGGTGGCGCAGTTGCTAGAGCTGAAATTGTCCCTAGGTGAGAGAGAGAGAGTGAATGGTTGTTTGTCTTGTTTGTCTCTATGTGTCCCTGTGATGGACTGGAGACCTGTCCAGGGTGTCCCTGTGTTGGACTAGAGACCTGTCCAAGGTGTCCCTGTGTTGGACTGGAGACCTGTCCAGGGTGTCCCTGTGTTGGACTGGAGACCTGTCCAGGGTGTCCTCTGCCTCTCACACAGTGACTGCTGGACATGGGAACCAGTGACCCCTGCAATCCGAAAAAGAAGAAGCAGGTAAAGATGATGGCTGGCTGGCTGGCTGGCTGGCTGGCTGGATGGATGGATGGATGGCTGGCTGGCTGGATGGATGGATGGATGGCTGGCTGGCTGGCTGGCTGGCTGGATGGCTGGATGGATGGATGGATGGATGGCTGGCTGGCTGGCTGGATGGATGGCTGGCTGGCTGGCTGGCTGGCTGGCTGGCTGGCTGGATGGATGGATGGATGGCTGGATGGATGGATGGATGGCTGGCTGGCTGGCTGGCTGGCTGGATGG